CGATTGTTCGCGATGTCGAACGAAGACTACGGTTTTCGATGTGTTAGAAATACTATATCTGAAAGTTGATTATCAAATTACCTAGCAATTGCTATTTAATAGGTCCAGTAAAATTCAACGATAATTCAAAACATACTTTCGTCAATTTTATTTTCGTCTCAGTTTGGCGTCTAGAATCCACCCTATCAAAGTATCCCACATTTTTATTAACACCCTGTATAATCCTTCATTATAGGTTACCGGTCAGTAGATTGTTAAGAACACGAATTGTGCTTCTCGGAGACTCTAAGATAAGCCTCAAGCAACAATGCTCATATAATTATTCAGAATTTAATGATTCTTAAATTAATTATTCAGAATTTAATGATCATTAAATAACCATATTGTTTAGTCAATCAAAATATTTATTAACGTCGTACACCGATTACCATTATGGCCCCATTGAAATGACAGGAGCAAGACGTGGGTGAGCACCAGATAATTTCTGTTAAAATTCGTCAGACGCTAGCACGTGTTATCAAAAACCGAAGAAACAAGTGCCTGGCGTGAAATAAATCGCGGACGGAGACGAATTATACGAATGGCACCGGGCGAGGGGGTGCCTTTTCCGCGTCAAATTGCCACGATCATTTCAGCTTACGGCGATTAATCGGAACGGTTTGATACACGAGTCGCAGCCGATCGTCGCTCCTCTGGAAAATCGCGGGAGTGGGGGAGGCGCCTAATGCCGCCGATTAATCACTGCTATCCGGCTGAACCGACTAATTGCTCGGCGGCGCGGCCGGTCTCGCGTCTACGCTCGATTGTTAGGTATACACGGACCCAGAGGAGAGGGACGGGCATTCGCGTATACGCTTGTTTCGCCGAGTACGAAAAAAAAAAGAGAGAGAAAAACGAGAGACAGAGACGAGAGAAAAGGATTAGTCGAGACCACTATGGCTGTTCTGCGCCGATAGATCCGACGTGGCACGTTACGTTCACTGATAAACCTGACTTCACTGTACGCGAATGGGAATCGCCTGGTTTACGAGGTGTGACAATTAAGTTTCGAGAATAATTTACTTGAAACATTTTATTTCGGAAATCGAACTAAGTACGATGCCTTCAAAACCGTTCCTTGTTTAATTTTCGAAATAAAGATTTTTTTACACGAATTATTCTCGGAACTTTATTGTCGCGCCACGTAGATGAAATGCTATGCTAATTTGGTTGAGATGTGACTTGTGTACACGTCGGAATAATGTGATCGATAGATGAATGATTCGCACATGGGTCACGATTATTTGACGCAAGGATCGATGGTTCTCGTAAAGATTACGGTAATCTGATACTAGGATCGACAACGCTTATGATAAATGTGACAATTTGGTCCAGGAATCCACCAATCACGCGTGAATACTGATAACTTGAACCGAACATCGTTGGCGCTAAGAATTAAGATGAAGTGATCCAAGGTTCCATAAGATTTATCATACTTTGATCCTGAGTTTCACGTTCAATATATGTTTGACCCCGACATTTATGGTCCATCTATAGATCATAACGTGTAATTTCATTCTCTGATCTATAATCCACGTATAGGTAACGATAAATAGTCTTGATATCTAATCACCAACGTTTAGATCACAATAACTAGTCCATGGATGCATGATTCACAGGCGTTTCAGAATAAATAGCCTAAGTATCCATAACTAATCTGTACGTGACGATGTATACCTATTTCTGAAACTTATCATCCACGTTTAATTCACAAAAACTAGTCCATGGCTACACGATCCATAGGCGTTTCAGAATAAATAGCCTAAGTATCGATAACTCATCTGTACGTGACGATGTAAACCTATTCCTGAAACCTACGATCCATATTGAGGTCACGTTAAATCGTCCAGAAATCTATGATCCACAAATACGTCACGAATAGTCTGAAGATTTATAGGTCATCTGTGGTTAACGACAAATATTCCTGACAAGTTATAACGATGAATAAATTCAGGATCTATGATAAAAAGACCCGAGATTCACGACCCATGTGGATCACGAATCCTGTAAATGAATCGCGAGAAATTTAACGAACGACGCTGATTATCCAACCCGCCGTCTCGTCGCTGGCGATTCCGCGAAAAAATCCTGTTACAGGCGTAGCGTCGGGTCGAATTCGACGATCTATTATACCGGGATCGATCACACCTGCGGATTTACAATCGGCGGGATTTACGCCGAACGGAAAATTATTTGTCCCGCTTGGTTTTTCGATACTGGCCGTGGGGGGAGCCGGACGATCCGATTTGAGAGCGAATTACAGACACCCACAGCCCCCGAACGGAAGTCCCACGCGAACACGATATTGCGCGGCGGTGTGACGGGCAACCTGGTGCCAATGAAAAAATACAAATCACCGTTTCCGATACTTCTGCTCGAAAGTATTAGCCTGTGACGAATGGTCCGAGCACAAAACTCCTGGTAAAATTGTTTTGAAACTGGTTCAAAATCACAGTTGTTATTAGGACAACGTTATTTGGACAATATTCCGCAGGCAGTACATCGGAAGTTGGAGCATTAGAGGTTAAAGGATACAAATTCACAAGTGGAGATTGAATATTGGAAAAAATTGGTTGAAGATTCCCTAAAAATTGGTTGAACACTGAAAACTAAAAATTGAAGATTACAGATGAAGATCAAGCTTGCAAGCTCAAGATTCAAAGTTCCCAGTGCACAGATTAGGGTTCAAAGTTCCTAATTCGCATATTATGATTCAAGGTTTACATTTCTCAGTTTAGGGTTCAAGGTTCACGCTCCATAGTTGAGGAATCAAGGATCACAGTCAACGGTCTGCACGTTCGAGATTCACACGGTTTAATATTCATGGTTCAATATTCATGACTCAATATTTATGGTTCAATATTCATGGTTCAATATTTATGGTTTAATATTTACGGTTCAATATTCGTAGTTCAGTATTCATGGTTCAACATTCACAACTTACGATTCAAGATTCACTAATGCATGAATTACGCAACTTTCCCAGAGTTGATGAAATACTCCAGAATACTCGTCATTAACCCAATTAGAAAATATAGAACGCACTTACCGTCTGCAGAACTCCTTTCAAGAGGTGCCTAAGCGGAGGCAACGAGTCCAACTACACTGTTCGTCACTGCACACTAATAAGTACACTGAGGATTCTGTACAAATGTTTAACAATGTTTAAACCAAACACTGTCTCCCAACAAGAGGGCTAACGAGATTTGCATTCTACTTGAAATCTCTCGCAACTTCTAATTTATTCGACTACAGTCCCCATTCGGCTATGGAGATCTACACTGGCATAACGATCCACAGTCAACTAATAATATAATTACGAGAAGGTTCAAATCAGCAATTTCCAAGCGGTTGTTCCGCCACGCAACAGTTGCCACACTTCTCACACTTGCGCGGCCGTATGTACCCGATGAATATTCGATATCGATTTATTCGCAAATGAAAGTTTGCATAAAAGAATGTTGCATCTACATGTTCGACTTATTTTTTCACATAGAATCACTTCTTTTCGGCTTGTATCATCAGTTCAGAGACACTCCGTATATTTTTGTCGCAACAGAAAGACCCCTAATGTGATATTTAGTACACGTTTACAGGGGACGTCTCCACTGGAGTTCGCGAACAGTATACATTTTCAATGACCTTACTTTATACCATTTAGTGAATTTCTTCACAACAAACTGGTGGCTGTTTAAAGTTAAAGTACCAATGTTGCGTTAAATAATCGCTCTTTAAAACGCCGATTGGCAAACCGTGTCACTAAAAAAAAGCTCTCGTAAATCTGGCTGTGAACACAGACATTCTCCATTACTTTCTTGTATAAATATTTACAAAAATTGTTAAATATATTGTCATCACAATAGAAACAGCATGAAATAAAAGTTTTGTTTCTTCTTAAAAAATTCACAAAAGTCGACTTTTTTTAGCCGTCCCATGTGTATATGCTCCCTTAATGATACGTAATCAGCGATCAAGAATTTCACAACATTTCCTTCTGGCCAGTAATTAATTACAGTAACAAACTACGGCCGTCCCAAGTCCCCAGACTCCAGCATTGGTCGCTGGAACGTCTGTAGGTGCTTCCCACGCAAGCTAAACGTCCGCCCAGCCTCTTTGGATCGTTATTACGCGAAACTTATCTCCGGTGGTTCCTTCCACCCGAGGAAAACCGACGGGAAAACTATCGGGGGGGAGCAAAGTACTAAGGCGGACTGATCCCTCCGAGCGTCTCGCAAATCCGTTGAAATCGTCGTCCATTAAAATACTTTAGGACGCTTCCCGATAATAGACCGTCTTCTCCTTACCGAATATTTACGACTGCGTGAAGAGTTCGAGCCCGTATAAACGTTAAAATAATTCGCGCAAACTGACTTGTGCATTCACAGTTGCACGAGCAAATCGTTGCGTTTAAATGGAAGCAACGCTCATGGCAAATAATTACCATTACTTTTCTTGTTATTTAATTGAACGAACTCGATGATAATAAGGCCTACAATATACTCAAATACAACGAAAAAATGGGTTTAACGTAGTTTTAAAAGTGGGATATGCACTACGTGGCATAACCATAAAATCAAAGTGTGGAATCCTCCCATTGGTGGGGATGAAACAGAAGTATTTAACGTTGAGGTCTTACCGCGCAGTTATCGAGACTTTTTTGTATTGGCGTTTCGTCCTAAAAAATCATCTATCGGGAAGACGCTACAGTAAATACGTAAAATGGTGAATGAAATGAATGATGATAATTTGAAAATTTCCTACATCAATCGCGTGTTTCGTTCCCTGATGTTCTCTTCGTCTGGGAACACCGAGGGACCATTTTCATGGCATTTCACAGCCCGATTCGGGAGTTTCTCATCCATATTCGTTCCCGTTGCCCGACAGCCTTTATCAATCTTCCGCGAAACGAACGGCACATGCATTTTATTAAACGCTGAGTGGAAGCATGCGAAACCACTCACCTGTATAACGTAATTCGCCCCAGCGGGTACTCTCACCTGGAACAAAAAACAAAGGTGGATTCGTTAGAATCGGCGTTCTTACCGCGGGGAACGGCTGCAGAAGTTTGGAATAAAACTGGAGGGAAAGGAATAAAATCCGAACGCGCATGACTTGCGTAAATGTATTCAAATATTCGGATATTAGATTAGAGTTATATATATATATAAAAAGTAGGATTGCAAAGAGTTAAACTAACCCTTTAAATTAGCCTCCCTAATTTATGGTACTACGCGTGTAATTAATACAATGCGTGGCATAACTCTGAAACCATCCTAAAATTTGCAATTTTTATATGTATTTTGATTCAAATAAAAACAAACTACTTATCTAGGGAATTCAATTTATTCTTTTCTGGAGAAACATTATTTCTCAACACGATTTCAGACATGGCTTCTCGTCGTTCGTTTTTATTTTAACCAAAATGCATAAGAATTGAAAATTTCAGAGTGGTTTTACAGTTATGCCCTGCAATGTGTATCCCACACGCGTGTACTACACGTGAAATATATGTATATCTCTGGTAGAGATCGAATGGTCCATTATGCCAAGTGGACACCAATCACGTCAGATCGCTAGATTCGGTCGCAGAATCCGAAGTCGATTAAAAATTGTGTTTTAATTCTCTTTGTAATATTCGAATGCAAATGCGGTAAATATATTAAAACTCACCCATCCCCTTTGAAATACGATCCCAAAACCGATGCAGAATAAACGAGAGAGAAAAAAGTTAATTTCAGGTGGATACGGGATCGCGTGGCACCACGCGAACAATAAACAATCGTGATGATCAGCAAAAGAGCCGCGGCGCGGCTTTAACGATCGGCCGCTAATGTTCGACGGTGGCTCTCGGTAACACGTATTATTATAAACGATTCGATTGGCCGTGCACCAGCAGCACACCTGACCGGTATTTATGGAGCTGATAAACCAGCCGTCCGTAAAATGTTGCATCTCCGATGGTAAATATCGGAGGGAAAAACGTGGGTTCGAATCGAAATGTATCAGTTACACACACATACGCACACAATTACAGAGAAACGCTGGGAAATGTCGATATATTCGACTCGAATATCTGCAGAGAGCGTGCTTGTTGGATATCAGGGAATGAAACGTTAACGAAAATACTCATCTCTCGAATGTATAGTCGCGTGGAAAAGTATCTGATCAGAATTTTCTTGTTGCAGTGATTTCTAAGTTTCTATAAGGTCAACTCACAAATCTGAAGAAAGCTAATCGGAGGAAAACCTAAAATAGAAACATTGTAATCCATCTTGAAACTTTTACCCTTAATCACACTGTATAATAAATGCACAAAATCAATTAAATCAAATAAATGTCAAAACGCCATACATCTCGAGAAGACCGAAAATGGGAGCCATAAAAACTCGACAAAATCATCCGTCACATCGAATACGTTACTTTCCATTCATTTCCCTCCTGGAATTCCGCTCGACCGCGCGAAATACGCGAGAATTCCACGGAATTCCGACCGCTGGAGTTCTTTTTAACGCGCGTCAGGGACCACGTCAATACACGCATCCGTAAATACCGTGCATTCGCGGCGCATTCTGCACGACAAGTTGACTCATAATCGAACCACGGTGTAAACACAGAGGGAAAAAAAATACACACACAGAGAAGAAGAAAACACCTGAAAACATCGGCAAAATGAGCAAAAAAGATGGAAGGGGGAGAAAAAAAGGGAGAATCCGTGGCTCGTGTTTGTCGATGGGATTTTCGTTCTGAATGAATGTCGCGCGACGAGCACGAGAGGAACGGAGAATAGTACAGTTTGACGGGCTAACAACGCCGACGAGTTTCGTCGACGAGGGCCGCGACAGTGTACGCATTTTAAAAAAAAATGTTACGTTCGTTAAACTGAAGCGTAATGCGCTTTTACGTTCTGTGAGCGTTCCTTCTTCTTTCTTTTTAAAGTGAACATTTCACTCGAACACCGCTTGAAATGAAATTTATTTTGCATATACCTCAGTAATTATTCATTTTAATTTTTATTCAGGTGTAACAGTTTCTTTACGCACAATTTGATACTTTCTGCTGACTCGAGAAGAACTATTAGGCTTTAAATTAAACTGATTTAAACAAAGAAACTGAAGGTGATCTTCGTAGATCGATAAAAAGGTACAGTGATAATGAATTGACTATACTATTGAATGTTCATCTGGAAATCATGTAACTTTTGTTTGAAGCATTTTTTTCGTACAGAACAGCTTCCTTAGTTTACAGTAGTGTTAACTAAAAACTGAAACTTGTGTTTACCTGCTGACTACACTACCACAACATTCCAAGGTCCCACAAAACTCTTCTGTCGCCCATTAAACTAACATTTCACCAGTACTGTGGTTTCGACACTGCTCCCACGAGCCTCGCCCCAAAAACTCACCCCTCGATGCTATGGGAGCATTAAACAGCCAATCAAACTTTCCCCCGAAACCAGCTCTCGTCACGAAGGGAAAAAAAAGGAGAAGAATAACCGAAAAAAAAAAAAGAAACATCGATCACGAGGCCAGAACGAAACTCTTGGAAAAATTCGCGTAGCATCTAGTCACCTTGGGAATGGAGTCTCCTCGAGGTGAAAGGGAATAAGATGGCGGAAGGGTAGTGATGGTGATGGGTGGGGCAAGAAAGTTCTGGAATAGGCCGAGTACTTGGCGGAGAGCTAGGAACGCGCGTTTATCTTTCCTCTCGACGTCGTCGCGGGAAAGTCTCCTTTTATCGGTGGGCGCGAGAGCGACAGTCCTGACATCGACGGAGGCGAAAAGACGTGGTGAAATGGATGGGGTAGGAGAGGGGTGAGACACGATGAGAACGGGGAAGGGGAGGCCAAGGGTTGACGAGGGTGGTATCAAGTTTTAACGAGGTCCCCAGTGTTCGGACACGCGAGTGGAGGGGCACTTCGCGGACAAAGGACCGCCGCCGAAAGCGGGATTTCAGGCGTGGAACTCGTTTCGTCGGGGAACTAATTCTCCTCTGCTACCTGGCCAGGTGATTTTAGGATGGTGGTGGAAGTTGTGTCTTTGATGAACAGTTGAATGAACGAAATAGTTGATGAAGTTATATGGGGGCGTGTGAAGAAGATTGGAATCGCTATAGAAGCGATTGGATGTGTTTGATCGGTGGTTTAATTAGAAATTGAGTGGACGGTTTTTAATGGAAAAGATAAAAATGGACAGTTGTGTACTGGGCAATCTGAAGTTCGTAACTAGAGAGATGTGGCAAAAGAAGAATTGTATAATCGTTAGAAGAAATTTTACGTTACTTGATTATTTCGTGTACGGATAATCGTAATTATTCATTGTCAGAGACGTATAACAATGCGTTTATAGTCAGAGAAGTAGAATATGTCATCGTGCACAGAGTGACCAGATGAGGAGAATAGCCTTTTTATTATAATTTATCATACTAGTGGAAAAGGTAGTACAATAGGGATACCTGATAAGTACAATAGGAAGTACCTGATCGGCTAAGTAGAATCGGCCGTTTATGGTCAGACCAAGCGATTCTACCGTCCATGCCGGGCAAGTAGAATAAGTCGTTCATGACCAAATAAGTAGAATGGGTAGCTCATGCCTAGATAAGTAGAATAGGTGTTTCATAACTAGGCAGGGAGAACAGACAGTTCCTTACCAGACAACTAGAATATACAGTATATGACCACGTAAGTAGAATAGGTGTTCGTGGCCAGACAAGTAAAATGGATCGTTTATGTCTAGGTAAATAGAATAGCTATTTCATAACCAGGCAAGGAGAATAAGTAGTTCGTGGCCGGACAAATTGAACACTAATGTATGGCCAGATAAGGAAAAGAAAGCATCTATGTTCAGATCAGGGCAGTAAGTCGTTCATAACCATGTAAGTAGAACAAAGAATGCATAATCAGACAAGTATGATCGGATCATTTATGATCGGGTGAGTAAATAGAAAGGTCCATGCTCAGACAAGTAAAGTATGTCACTCACGTCCAGGGTGTCATTAAAAAGAAAAAATACGTCGAATTTGATACGTTTAAAATGTTTTCACAGTTACCCTGAAACGTAACTCTCACGTGGACGTACAACCGTTATGAATCAAGCAGCAGTTTCTACGATCCTCTTGTTCCCATTAGCGCGACTGTTAGTTTGTTCCCGGATAATAGGGGACTCGTTTAAAGACTGGTCGCGGCAAAATCGTATTCCATAACGATCCTGCACAGGTAACAACGGTGGAATTACAGGCCGGTCACGAGTCCGTAAAAAATGCAAACAAGCCCTCCGCCTCCTCGTATGCACATCGTTTCTCCGTTGCGCCGGGAACTACCCTCATTTCCTTCATTATGTCGCTAACGGGCAACTACTCGAGATTTATGAGCACTCGAAGGTACCGTTGAACCGTGCGCTAATAAACAGAAGGCACTCGCCTGCGTTCAACCCGGGCTTTTCCCCCGTCCAAACTTTCCCCGATACGAGTATTGCAGTTTTGTCGCTCTAATTTCATGTTTTATTCATCCCTGGCCTCCCCCAATCCCCCACCAACGACTTCCGTGTTTCTTTTACAATTATCGTTGTTGCGTCCAGACGATAGTTCCGTTGGGTCTTGATCAATTCTTGGCGTTGTTTCCTTGAGAAACAGGGAATTATAAAGGGATCTAGAGTGGCTAAGATTGGGCAGTCGAGGATCGAGAGTGGTCAGTAGTAAGGCAATAGGTGATTAAGGGTAGTTAGAAGTGGCCAATAAGGCAATGTCAACAAGTGATTAAGTGAAGTTAAAGAAAACTGTTCGTATGGAATCACGTGTGGAAAACAGTGGCCAATAAGGAATATAATGTGTCCAACACTGGCCAATGAGGTATAGAAAACAGCCAACAATGGATAATAAGGAATAGAGAGCGGACCAAAATGCAGAATAAGTGATCTAAAACAGTCAAAAGAGACCAACTGACAATCAAATACAATGATGATTGAGGAATACGGCATCAAACGTGTCTAACAATGTCTGAAAG